GGCGGTTTTTATTAGAGACGCTTGTGATCTGGGCGGGTTCCTCCTGTCCAAGCTGTCCATGGACGGGCTCGTTGGGGTCCTCGGCCGCCTCGGCTTCACTAGGCGGCTCCAGCTGCTCAGGATCCTCCGCTTCGTCCCCTGCTTCCAACGGCGTCGCAGGACTGGGGGAATGGGCGACTTGTCGGAGGCGCTTGAACGGCCGCGCTGAGCTGGACGCAGCAGCACGCTTTGTCGACGGTGGTGGGGAATCGCAGGGCCGCTGCGCTGAAGGGGGTTCCTGCTGGAAGTCGTCGCTTGGGCTGCTGGCAAGATCCTGCGCTGCAAAGACCAGCTGGGCCCAAGCATCGGCAGGCAGCGCGTCCTCGGCGAGCGTCTCCTTCAGCAGCCAGATCGCCGACAGGACAGAGTGGGCAACCAAGACAGGCTTGCAGACACTTGTCTTGTTTAGAATCAGCCAGCCTGCGCTGTGTGGGCGGAATAGAGCATCACGCTGCGAGTCCAAGACAGTCGCCTTGCTCCAAAACAGCTTTTGGTAGTCCAGGTTCAGCAGGTTGTATGCGAGCCTGTGGGCAAAGCTCAACTCGCTGGCTAGCGGGAAGCTCCAGGGCCTGCCATTGAATTGCTTGGCGGCATCTTCCAACGCGGAGATCTAGAGTAGATTAGATAGCAACATAACTGTTTATTTGTTGATGTGGGAGATATAGCAGAAGAAGAAGGATGTTTATTAGGTTTAGCCCCTGACTAGGGTAATAGACTAAACAGAGATTAGCCTATACAACATAAGCAGGCGCACAAGCTAGGGTGCGAAACTTAACATAGTTTAGAGATAAGAGCTATTGCCTTAAGGAAGAAAAACACACATAGAGGCTTGCAGAGGACTGCTAACATGTTAGAAGCCACTGTTAAGCATTAGTACTTTGAGCACTTGGCTGAGTACTAGGTAGCAGTGTGCATGGAGTGCTAGTACGCAGTATAGCTGGACTAGATTAAGAGCCACTTGCAGAAGCAACACAAGAGACCGCCAAAAAACATTAGAGCTGCAGGGGGTGCTATCTGTCAGTAGGTGGGCTTGCTACAGTACCCTAGCAAGTGGACGGTACTAGACAACAACGTGCAGCCCATCCCCCAGCTGCCAGTATACGACGACGGCTTGCTGTGCCAACTTAAGCCTAAAAAATGCTGGCACATTGCAAGAACTATTAACTTAATCAAAAAGCACTAGCGCAAAGACCACAATGGCTAGTTATTAGGAAAAAGGCAAGGACACCCTAGCCAAACTTAGGCAGGGGCGTTGCAAGCCTAGATAGAAGACAGCTGCAAGCGCGTACACTGCCAGCAACTTTTCGGCAGCTGGCACAGATCACAGTACTTTAAGGTGCGTCACAACCTAGACAGCAGTCCGCAACCTGTCCCTACAGAGGGCGAGGCAGCGTGGGCGCGCGTAGGCGAGGAGATGGCCAAGACGTGGGCCAACGTTGAGGACTGAGCAAAGACAACAATCGAAGACAGGGAGAAGGACAAAGCGGCCCTATGGCTAGAGTGGACTAGGTAGCTGCTGTACTTGAACAAACTGGATTGTCCTGAGTTGCTGGCAAGCATTAAGGAGCCCAACATAGACCTAGAGAAAGATAAGGAGCCTGTGGAGGCTGCAATTTAGAGCGCGATAGATGGACTGGCCTGCGTGAGCCAGATGTCTGTCATTAAGTGGACAAGCATATTTGTGCGCATGGAGGCCATTTGTACAGAGAAGCATTAGACTAGGTACACGCTGCTGCAGGCGTACATGGACGACAAGTCAATCAAAGAGCAATCACGCCTGTGGAAGCAGATACTGATGTTTTTTGCACAGACGCAGAGGGAGCACTATTAGAAGAGCCCTAAGTACTGCTTTACACAGCAGCAGCGTAAGGCGTGGGAGGCGTTGGTTGAGCAGGCAGAGAGAGATGTTGGTGGGGCAGAGATGGAGGTAGCGGACGAGGACCAGGACGGGGACAAGGAGGAAGAGGAGGAGGAGGACAAGATAATAATTGATGAACTTAACAACAAGCAGGACCTGTCTAAGTGCAACAACAAGCCTAAGAACAAGCTTAAGAACAAGCCTAAGCACGCAAAGCTAACGCTGATTGAGAAAGCGTGCTTAATGTTTTGCATTGCGCTGCTTGACTAGCGCATCCGCCGCAAGGAGTACGACTGCGCGTTAGTGTGTGCGTTGGCTGTGCTCAGCGTCAAAGAGGACAGCTGGAAGGACGCCGAGCTGTACCTGCCAATATTGTTGTTGGTGATCAAAATCAGCTGTTTCATGGTTGTACAACACGCACTTGAGCTGTCTGAGCTGTTTGAAGAGGAGGTGTTCGACGACAACAGCGCGTACAGGGGGAGCAACAGCGGCAGCAGTAACCCCAGGCTGCGTTGACAAAAAGGCTGCTTGGAGTTTATGCAGCAGATGATGGACAGGTTCATGGTACAAGGCAGCCACAGCCCAATGCAGTGGATGCTCGACTTGCGTACGTACGGGCTAAATGTAACGGTTGAGAGGAGAAGCGGATCACGTGTTGTTGGCGGTGGTCTGGTGTTACTTCCTCATGTTGTTGAGCACCTCTTACCTTGGCTGCGTTACAAAGACGTCATCAAAACAAACCCCGCAGCGAGCCTTGGAGAACATAGACAGATACAACAAGAACAACACAGAACAGAACACAATACACTCATCATATACATTTGCTCTTGATACCGCAACAGTTATGAGCCTAGATTGCGACTAGTTAGCTCGCTCACTTACAATAACTAATTGGCACCTACAATCAAGATTAACAATTAATTATACTGTACAGAGCCGCCGACCTACTAATTAGCACCCACAATTAAGATCACAATTGATTATACTGTGCAGAGCAACTTACAATAACTACTAGGTCAGACCCTGCAGTCACCCAAGTGACAGTTGTCCTCGATCGAGCTAACGACTGGCACAAGTGGCTGTTCATACAAAAAGATACTGCGCAGAAGAACGAGCTCTGGCAGTACGTTGACCCTGCCACGAAGGCAGCAGTCTTGCCTACGTTAATGGCACCAATTGAACCTCAATTGACAGATCACAACAACAATGCTACGTCACTTGCTTATCTTACTGCCGCGCAGCAGAAGCTGTACTAATAGGAGTACAAGCGATAGGAGCGCAAGGACATTAAGTTCAGGCGTTAGAAGAAGGCTCTTGCTAAGTTCAACTCTAAGATCAGCAAGACAATTGCTGCAAAGCACCTTTACTTAATTAAGAGCAAGGACACGCCATACAAGCGGTTAACGACGCTCAAGAAGCATCTTGCACCATCTGACGCATTACAACAACGCGATCTAATCGCACGATACAAATCTCTCCAGACGCCGCCACGCGGCAGGAAGATTGAGGAGTGGCTTCGCTCCTAGGTAGAGGTCACCAACATGTGTATATCTGCAGAGATTCCTGAGACAACAGGATCAAGAGCACAGGAGGACTTCCTTGTTGCATGCAGAACAATTGATCCAGAATACGGCACATCAGGCCTGCGAGCTCTGATCGATCTTGAGGACGCTGGCACAGCTATTCCATCTGTGGAGGACTACGTCAGCAAATTCACCACTTACCTTAAGCGTGTGCGACCACTGTCAACAGGACTCAGCTTAATGGCAGCAGAGCTCAATGTTGCAAAGCCTCAGCAGCAGAACAAGGATAGTTACAGGATTAAGCTGCAACACAAGCCCCAATGCCCATATAGCCTACAGCACTACTAGGTTAACTGCTAGTTAATCAACACAGAGCATCCACAAAGACCTAAGGCCTTTGCCAACGCAATTGGCTAAAAGAAGCTTGATGCCGCCCTAGCCACTAACAACGACTTAAGAGACAAGCTTAACAAGGCGCTCAATAAGTGGCGCGCAAAACAGCAAGAGAATAGAGGGAGTATTGCTATAGACAACGGCAACCGTCCTACTAGACATACAGCTAACACTGTACAATATATAAATTACAAGCAAGAGCTACATGCTTAGAATAACAAGCAAGTTAACACAAAAGCTTGTAATAATATAAAAAAGAAAGACAACCTCTACACAGTAGTAAGCATAGAAGAGGATATTAGCAAGCTTAGCAACTAATAGATCCTTGACCCTAGCTCTAACACTCATGTAATTAACACTAAGAACTAGAAGGGATAGACAAGAGAGTACAACGCAGCTGCTACTAACTTTGTTGGAGCTAGAACAGGACGTGTTTAGATAACAGCCTAGGGAAGCATAGAGCTTATGGCAAATACACCAACAGGTGTACGACCACTAAAGCTCACTCATGTTGCTTACGTCTAAGGCTTTGTCACAAGCCTGATTGGCTTAGCGCGCTGCAGGAAGCTTAATATACACTTTAATTTAGGACGTGATCTCCTGTACAAGGGCAATCTAGGATCAGTTCTTGCCTACTTGGAGCACGATGGAGGGCACTGGCTAGTGGACGCTAATGCCTCACGTTGTCTAAGCTAGACTTTGCTGTTGTCTTTTAGCACAACCTACTAACCTTTAAAGGCTCTACGCCTTGATTAAATAGTTAATGCTAGGACAGCCTATTAGATATAGGGTTATCCTAGTAAGAAAGCAATTAAAAAGCTTACCTTAAACGTTAATAGAATTGTTGTAGAAGGCAATAATAACAAATTCTATACTGTCTGTATAGAGTTAAAGTTAACAAAGCAGATATCTTAAAGATAACAGGAAGACTAAGCTTAGAGGCCCTTCTATTAAATCTCTATTAATATTATCTAATTAATACCTTAAGGAGAAGCCTACTTAAATAGCAATTAATAGGCTAGATACTCTGTTAATTAATACTTAAAATAGCACAAAGTGTTAACCTTCCTACAGTAATTAAAACTATTCCTAAGTTAATAGTTAGTTTAAGACGTACACAGTATATAGTAAGTGTTTAACTGCAACGTAACAGCTGTTAAGATAGACAATAACTATAGATATAGCACATTACTAAACTTCCTACAGGAACTCTGCAAAGACCTTGGTATTCAATATAAGCCACGAGCAGAGTACACAGAAGAACAGAACAGACTGGCAGAGCGAGCAGGATCGCTGCTTGTCATCCAAGCTAGAGCCATGAGGATTCAGGCAGGACTGCTAAAGTCACTGTCTCACGAGCTGATTCAAACAGCAGCATATGTGCTGAATTGTACGCCAACAGAAGCACTAAAATAGAAAACGCTATACAAAATAGTTTAGAAAACAAAGCTAAAGGTTTAACACATGCAACTAATAGGCTGTTAGGCGTATGTCCTTAATTAATCGCTTAAACACGCAGACAAGCTTAAATTAAGAGCGCTTATAGGCCACCTTATTAGCTATAACTTAACTAACATCTTTAGGATCTAGCTTCCTACTAAGGACTAGGTTATACGCACATAAGATATTGTCTTTAAACCTACAAAGTTCTATAAAGGACTACAAGGATACGCTTACAAATTAGTAATTGCAGAAGTTGTTAAGCTTCTAGCATTTCCTAAGGAGCTTAAGCCTAATAATATAGCAATAGAAGATCTTTTAATAACTTAACAACGCCGTTAACAGCAGCCTACTCACACATCTGCGCTCACAGAGCCTTAGATAGGGGGTAAAGTAACAGAACAGAATAAGGAGCAGAACAATAGAGGATTGCTAACTCTAGAAACTTTAATCTACAATTAACAAGACAGACAAACTAATTCTCTGTCCTTAGAATTAGAACAAGAGCAACGCACTCTAGATAAGCAATTAGCTTACAAACAGCAACTACACAAATTACAAAATAAAGACCTTTCTGCAACCTAGCTTAAAGGCTATATACCTAATTAACATAAGAACAACGCTCTAAGACGTTAAAACCTTAATCTTAGCACAGACAACGTCATTAAAGGCCCACAGCGTACAAGACGAAATGCTGATCTCTAGGCACCAGAGCAATGGCACTCTCACGCTGTCTTATACAGAGTATTAGTCAACAACTACCTTAAGGCTTTCTTAACTGCCTTAAAGGTTAAGCTAACCACAAAAATATATTATTTGCAAGTGCCAAGAGCTCCACAATTATATTTAGAGCTTAAATCTTATCTATTTAGAGAGCAGTTTTAACAGGCTGCGCAGAAAGAGTACTGCGAGATCTAGGGCAAAGGCTGCTTTGCTAAGATGACACAAACAGCAGAGACTGCTAATGCAGAGGTGCTACCCCTAATGTAGGTATTTACATACAAGTTCGATGAGGACAGTTACCTCTATTAATTTAAGGCACGACTTGTTGTCTGTGGCGACCTACAACAGCTATACAGAGATACCTACGCTGCTACACTAGCTGCTCGAACATTTCGAGCACTTATCGCAATAGCCAATCAATTTGGATTAGAGCTACTTCAGTACAACGTACTAAACGCGTTTCTTAACGCTACACTTAATCAAAAGCTCTACGCTCAGACACCTAATAGGTTCAAGAGAGATAGAGAGCTTCTACAGGTACTAAGAGCCCTGTACGGACTGAAGGAATCACTACTGCTATAGTACAAGGACCTAGACTGGCGGATGGGTACCATGTACCTAGGGTAGGGTATAGGTAGGGTATAGGTCGCACGGACGTAGGTATAGGTAGGGTAGGGTCGCACGGACCATAGGTATAGGTAGGGTAGGGTTGCACGGACCATAGGTAGGGTAGGGTAGCACGTGACTGGGTATAGGTATAGGTAGGGTAGC